AACCCAAGTCCAACCTCATTCCAATACCTTGACTTCTGTGCCTATGGTCCTCAAAGTGTGAGAACCATAGATCTATAGTAGGCCCTGTGCTTCAGCTGGCCACAGTCACATGGGGACCAACTCAAAACAGAACATACACAAATAAATCCAGTGAAGACATTTTATAGTAGTGCCAAAGGAGGGAGAGTCATTCTGAGGGTTCTAAAGAGGCTTCATGAAAGAGATGACATCTGAACTTGGCCACAATGAATGGAAGGACTTTAAAAAGTGGAAGAAAAAGCCTTTCAGGTAAAGCAGAGGCCAGGAGGCCAGAAAGTGCCTGTTCATAAAAGGCCTTCGTGAAAGGCCTTGCCTGCCAGGCTGAGAGGTCGTGGCCTTATCCTGAAGGCAGTGGGGAACCATGGTAGGTTTTTGAGCACAGGTAAGCTCATAGCTCAAAGTCTAAGTATGTCACTGCCTAACAACAGCGTTTTCTTACTTACCCACTATGGTGGGCAGAATGTTCTAATCCCTAGAGCCTGTGAATATGTTATGTCACATGGCAAGGGGAAATTAGGATTGCAGATGGATTTAAGGCTCCAGTCAGCTGATCTTGAGATGGGAGATCCTGGATTATCCAGGTGGGCCCAGTGTAATTACAAGGGTCCTTATAAGTGAAAGAGGAAGGAGAGTCAGTGTCAGAGTCAGGAAGAGATTTCAAGATGCTACACTGCTGGCTTTGAAGATGGAGGAAGGGGTCACAAGCCAGGAAGGCAGACAACTACTAGAAGCTTGAAAGGCAAGGAAACGGATTCTTTGCTTTGAAGGAACACAGCCCTGCCAACACCTTGATTTTAGCCCTAAAATCACAGCCTTTATAGCCCATTTCAGACTTCTGACCTCAGAGCTATAAGACAGACCTCCAGAAAACTTCGAGGTTTTTTTTCTTCAATCAAAGACAAATAAAGCCCTGGCTGGTTTTGCTCAGCGGTTAGAGTGTTGGCCCCCGGACCAGAGAGTTCCGGGTTCGGTTCCCGCTAAGGGCACGTACCTTGGTTGCAGTTTTTCCCCGGCCCTGGTTGGGGTCGTGTGGGTGGCAACCAGTCAATGTGTCCCTCTCACTTCGATGTTTCCTTCTCTCTCTCTCTCTCTCTCCCCCCCTCCCGCTCTATCTGAAGATAAATGCAAAAATGTCCTCTGGTGAGCATTAAAAAAAAAAAAAGACAAATAACAACATCAGTCACCATTTTCTGAGTGCTTACAGTGTTAAGTACTTTAATCTTCACAATAGCCCCATGAGACAGGCATATTATCTCCATTTTCCATATAGGGAAACTGAGGCTTGTCCAAGCTAATAAGTAGCATAGCCAGCATTGAAAGCCAGAACTGTCTCCAAAGCTTGTCTCCACTAGGCTTGAGAAAAGACTTTAGACCACCCATGACATCCTCCACTGGAAGTTGCCTGGATGGGCTTCAGCCAAAGGTGCTGGAGGTCTTTCCTGGCTGGAGCAGGGGCAGAGAGTTAGAGGACCCTGGAGATTCTCCCCCACAAATGAGGAAGTCAGTGAAGAGGAACTTTTCAGTGTTCCTCCCTGGCTTGGGTCAGTTTTCACCCAGGCCAAGGGAAATAGAAGCCCAGGCACTGGGCACCGGTTCACAGCCAAATTGCCTGTGTTGTCTCCTGGTTCCATCAATCACTTGCTAGTAACCTTGGGCAAGTGCCTTACAGGTCCCTGTCTTAGTTTTCTATTCTGTAAAATGGAGCTAATAATAGTACCTATCTTTGAGAGAATTCAATGAGTTATTGCACGTAATGGGTTTAGAAGAGTAACTACACAAAGTAAATCTGATAACTGTTATTATTTTCATTATTATTTCAAGTTGTGGAATTTTGCAGATGTGATTCATTTAAGGATCTTGAGATAAGGAGATTATCCTGGATTATCCAAATGGACCCTAAATGTAATAACAAATGTGCTTATAAAACGGAGGCTGAGGGAGATTTGACCACAGAAAGGAAGGCAAAATGATGCCTTTGCAAGCACAAGATGACCTTGCAGATAGAGGAAGTTGGCTATGAGCCAAAGAATGCAAGGTATGCAGTTCTAGGAGCTGGAAAAGGTTAAGGAAACGGATGCTCCCCTAGAGCCTCTGGAGGGAGTGCGACCCTGCTGATACCTTGATTTCAGTGCTGTGAAATGCGTTTCAGACTGCTGACCTCCAGGACCAAAATGTAAGAGAATAAATGTGTGTTGTTTTAAGCCACCAAGTTCGTGGTAATTTGTTCCAGCAGCAATAAGAAACTAACACAGAAAACATCAACATTAATGGTGTAAAGGAATCTGGTGGTGTTGGATGAAGGTGTCCAAGAAGCCTGGGTAGAATGAGAAAGAAAAGGGTCCAGCCGATGGCTCCCAATGACTCCAGCATTTAGGATACATGCAAAGGAAGAACATCTTAGAACACCTCTGAGGAGGAGCAGTCAGAGAGGAAGGAGGATCACCAAGGAAAATGTTGTCCCAGAATTCAAAGGAAAGTGTGTTTCAAGGAGGGAGTGGTTAACAGTGCCAAATGCTCCTAGAAGTCAAGCAAGAGAAGTTAAGTACCTGTTGCATTTTTTTTTTTATTCTCACCCAAGGACATTTTTTTGTTCAGATTGAGTGGGAGGGAGAGAGGAAGAGAGAGAGAGAGAAACATCAATGTGAAAGCGACACATCGAGTGGTTGCCACCCGCAAGACCAACCAGTGCCAGGGACAAACTGCAACCGAGGTATGTGCCCTTAGCGGGAACCGAACCTGGGTCTCTCTGGACCGTAGGCCGATGCTCTAACCACTGAGAAACCGGCCAGGGCACCTGTTGCATTTTAAGAGGAGATCCTAGTCTTGGCTGGTTTGGCTCAGCCATTAGAGAGTCAGCCCACAGACTGAAGGGTTTCAGGTTCGATTCCTGGTCAAGGGCACGTACCTGGGTTTGATCCCTGGTCCGGGTCAGGGTCCGGGTTGTTCGGGTGGCAACTAATTGATATGTCTCTCTCACATCAATGTTTCTCTTTCTCTCCCTCTTTCCCTCCCTTCCACTCTCTCTAAAATCAATGGAAAAATATCCTCAAATGAGGATCTCCTCACACACACACACACAAAGGAGGAAATCCCAGTTGACCTTGAAATAACTGGGTATTTGGGTCTGAAAACAGACTGGAGTGTGTTGAAAGGTGCCTGAGGGGTGAAACAGAGTTGTATTTCACAGCACATTTGTGCTATCGCCTCTGCTAGATTGTACATATTTTTTCAACTTTTTTGTTGTTGCTGTTAATCCTCACTCGAGAATATTTTTCCATTGATTTTTAGAGTGGAAAGGAGGGGGGGGGAGAGAGAGAGAGAGAGAGAGAGAGAGATACATCGATGTGAGATCAAGGCCAGGTATGGAAACTACAACCCAGGTATGTGCCCTTGACTGGGAATCAAACCTGTGACCCTTTGGTCTGTGGGCTGACGCTCTAACCCTCTGAACCAAATTGGCCAGGATCATTTTTTTCAACTTTTAATTCTATTACACAAGTAGTATATGTTCCTTACAGAAAAGTTAAGATACACAAATTAGCCAAAAAAAAAAAAAAATTACTCATAATATCCTCAGATGGTAATATTTTAGTGTACATCTTTTCAAGTTTTCCTTTTCTACACAAAGTATATAATTCAATCACCTTATGGGGTAAAATGCCATTAAGCCATTTTAAGAGGAAGAAATTCAGTGTTTGAGAAGCAAGCAATTTCCCCTGCTGCACAGAGCTGGTCAACAGCAGCACCAGATTGGAACTTAGATATCACAATCCAAAACTAATGTTCTTCACTTACGTGCTTCCCTGACACTTTTTACCTGAAGGAATCTTTTCCAGAGGGCCTCAGGGTCCAGAACTAAATCAAAGTAGATTTCTATTCTGAACCCCATCTGTCACCCACTCTAAGATATAGGTAGTTGCCAAGAGGAAGAAGTTAGTGCGTGGAGAGGAGTGGCAGTCTTTAGCCTGGTAGGGATGGTGAGCAGGGTGGAGTGGGGAAAGGCACCAGACTAATCCCAGGAAGACAAAAGGGTGTGGGTGAGAAGACCAGGTAAAAAGGAGAGGGTTACTGAGCACCTATTGGGTACACGCACGTGTTAGATTCTTTCCTCACAACATCGTAACAGAGTGGGCGTCAGACTTCCCATTTCGCAGGGAAGGAAACAGGTTCCAAGAAGGGATGTAATTTTTCTCAAATCACAGTTACCCAGGGGCATCGAGCTACACGACCCGGGAGGCGGGGCACGTGGCTGGGGGTGGAGCCAAGGAGTGTTGGGAGGGTGGAGCCAAGGGGTGGGAGGGTGGAGCCAAGGGGTGGGAGGGTGGAGCCAAGGGGTGGGAGGGTGGAGCCAAGCGGGTGGGAAAGTGGAGCCAAGGGGTGGGTGGGCGGCCCCAGAGGCGAGCAAAACCGGAGGCAGTCAGCTGGGTGCGGGGAGCAAGGGAGAGGTGGAGTGATTCCGGGTGGAGCTGGGCACGGAGACCTGCAGGGCTAGGGGGTGGTCGTGAGGCTGAAGGGGCAAGGTCATGGGGACTGGGAACGAAGGGAGGCGGGTGGGAGGGAGGGAACCAGGGAGCGGGAAAAAGGGAGCGGAACCTGTAGGCGCCGAGAAGGCGGCGGGTGACCGGAGGGGCTTCGCGGGAGGCCGGGGGCGGGGCAGCGAGGCAAGGGGCGGGTCCGAGGAGCCCAGTGAGAGGCCGGGGGCGGGGCAGTAGCCAGAGGCGGAGCTCTCGGGCTGGGAGGCCAGGGGGCGGGGCCGAGTAGTTCGGAGAGGTGCTTCGACGGCTGTCCAGGTTAAGCTGGGAGTCTGGAAGGCCGGGGCGGGACCGAGAAGAGGACCGAGTCGGGAAGCGCGGGGCTCCGGGACGGGAGGGGATTGGGCGGGACGCTGGGAAGGCGGTCGGGGGCGGGGCGCGCGGAGGGGGCGGGGCGCGGAGGCCCTGACGGAGCCCTCGGAGAGCTGTGAGGCCAGCCCGACGCTGTGTAGCGAGCGCGCCCCGCGCCCCGCGCCCGGCTCTCACAGCCCAGGAGCCCCCGCCCCGCGCCCACCATGCCCGAGCAGCTTAGCGTCGCGGAGTTCCTGGCCATCACAATGGAGGACCTCAGCTCCCCGGCCGGCGCCGCAGCCTTCGCCGCCAAGATGCCCCGGTGCCGGGGGGCGGCACTGGCTCGGGAGGAGGTGAGGGGGTCGAGGCGGGAAGGGTCGGGGATCCCGGCAGGGCCTCGCCTTGATGTGCACAGGTGTGACCGGCCCTCGCCGCTCCCCAGAAACCTGCTCCCTCCCTAAATCTGTGAGAACCGAGTGCATCTCAAACGTCCGCGTCCTCACCGTCGAGGCCTTTGGGAGGGCTGAAGGGACCGTTTGTGGGGGCCTCGAGGTCACCTCGATGACAGACTTCACAGGTCGGGGGACATACCCTCAATGCTCTTTCTTGGTGACCTGCACTATCGCATGTGTTTGCTTAGCTCCTCACTGCATCTGTTTGGGTTTTCATGCTCGGAGCCCCACAAGTTTGGCCCCCAAGTCACTCCCCTTCTGGGAAGCAGGCGTTCCCGCTTCAGTCAAGAACTTACTTCTCCCAGGCTGCAGGGAGGCCCCCTCCCCCTGGCTGCTGGCTCCGAGATCTGGCCGGTGTTTGTGGAATGAATGCGAATGAGAAGGCGCCAGGAGCCGGGGTTCACCTTGGCCAGGCTGTTGGCAAGTTTCTAGTCTCCTCCCCCCTCCCCTCTCCTCTTTGTCTTTCCCAGCAACGAGTCCCAGGCCTTTTCTTTCACCCTTGCAGGCTGCCCCACCCCATTCTCCTACTCTTTGGAGTTCATTGCTCTTTTCTGACCGGCTGCACTTTACCAGGCCTCTCCTGCAGGGAATATTCTAGGGCAGACACCCTGTAGCTTTGGGCCAACAGAGAATAATGTGTTTTTGCCGCTCCCTTTCAGAGGATGTCCTGAATTTGGGTGACAGTTGGACCTCAGCCTTTGCTCTCACCTTCCATCCTTCACCATAAGAGTTTTGAGCACCTACTGTGTTGCTGATACAACACTCAGTAGTTCATAATACCCTGGATCAGTGTCTTGGGAAATTTCTTTTCCTTCTCTCCTTTGGCAGTCTGAAGCCCCTTCTCAGGGTCTGTGTCTGTCACTTTGCAGTGGGATGATAGAAGATTGTGGAAAAGAGCTTCAGGGGAGGCAAACTGTGTTCAAATTCTGACCCTGCAGTGTCTGGCAGTTGTGTGAGCTTGGGTATTGTGACCTGATTTGTTTGCGCTCTACTTTTGGCATCTGTAAAATGGAGCTAATAATATTTACCTTACAGGACTATGGTATTACATGAGGCAATGTATGTATGTAAAGCATGCATATTGATAAATGGAATGATGATCAGGTTAATTGACAGACCTCTTTAGACAATGACTGGATCTCTTTTGTTCATTTCTGTCACAGAGCCAGCCTAGTGCTTTGCACATAGTAGGGGTACATGTTTTAATTCAAATAAGAAGAAGCCAATGATCTTTGGCCTTCCTTGGGCAGAACCAGTTTCTTGGAGTCCACCACCTATGACTATGAATTGTATTTTACTGGGAGGCTCACAGGGAAACTGCCACAGAACCTCATCCTTAGGAGGGAGTTCACTGAGGTTTCTCTTATAGTCAGTCTTTCATGACCTGAAAGGATTCAGTGCCTTCGGCACCCTTAGGGCTGTCCTCTCTGGGTTGTTCATTAAAATGTTAGGTCAGAGCCAGAGCAGGAGAAGGGGATGTACTATGAACCTTCTCCAGGGACAGAAATGCCCATTTATGCCTGTGCATCTGGCCTTGCCTGGCTTGGTGTGTGTAAGCACTTGTGTGTGCCTGGAGGGGATGGGGGAGCCCTTGGAATGGGTCTAGAGGCCAAAGCAGGCTCTGGTCAGGGCTCAGCTTTGCCCCAATCCAGGCCCCGACAAAACCTGGTCCCATTTGCCTTTGGGACTGATTTGTTGCACGCAAGGTTCATTTTTACAGCAGAAAGCCTGTGGCACCCAAACAGCTTTTCTCTTCAGTGTTTCACTGCCCAAACAGTCAGAATCTGACCTTTGGATTGAACTTTCTGGAGGTTTCCTGTTTGGTTTTGCATTCATGTTTATATTTACATGTAGTTTGAAGCTGGCATTCCCTCTCCCCTTTTCTGGACATGACTGACCCACCCCCTGGCTTGAAAGGGTGTGAATTTGGCTGAATCAAAATGCAACTGATTCTTTTTTTTAATCCTCACCCAATGATATGTTATTGATTTTAGAGAGAGAAGCAGGGAGAGGAAGAGAGAGAAAAACATTAATGTGAGAGAGAGAGACATCAATTGGTTGCACACCCTGATGGGGGATTGAACCTGCAACCTAGATATGTGCCCTGACTGGGAATCGAACCCGTGACCTTTCAATGTACGGTACTGTGCTCCAACTGAGCCACATCAGCCAGGGCACAACTGATTCATAAGTCAAGTCTTCCAGTTCCAGCTGGAACTAGGGAGGAACTAGGGTCTCTGTCCTGGGACTTGCAGCCTTTTTTTGCAGTACTTCTGGGAAAGACCCTGGGCAGGTCACAGGAAACTAGAATATCAGTGCTGAAGCACCCTTTAAGATAGAGATCACCTAGGAAGGCTCTTATCTGAGATGAGGAAACTGATGTCCCAAGAGTGCAAGAAAATTGTCCAAGCTCCCACAGCTGGGTATGGGAGGAATTGGCATTTCTACCCAAATGTTCAAATCCCTGGTCCTGTTCTCTTTCCTTCTAAAGCCCAAATGCTTGTCCTCCCTATGTAACTTATCTGAACTTCAGTTAATTTACCCTTAAAATGGGTCTAATCATCGCTCCTTGCTTACCTCTGTTAAAGTTTTTTGTTTTTAATTGTGAAACACTACAAATGTGAGGGAGTCTTAAGACAGATTATCATTCTGTCAACCACCTCCTTCCTGTTCTGGGCCCCTTTACATCCATCATCTCATTGATATTCACCATAGCACAGGTGAAAATGGGCCCAGGGAGGTTAAGGAAGTTGCCTTGTGTCACATAGTTGGTCTGTCTGACCCTAAGGCCTGCCAGTTCTGCGTGCCATTTCTGTGCTAGGCACCAAGGACATTAAGATGCCGCTCTCATTTGCTGACTGTTTGGGGAGAAGTAGCTTATCTTAGGGAGATGAGTAGGAACCCTAGAAATCTGTCCTGAGTGCCCAGAGAAAGGTACAGTCAGTGCCATAAGAGGCCGGTAAAGTAGGGCAGGGAGATAAACAAAAAAAAGAAAAAGAGCCCTGGCCGGTTTGGCTCAGCGTTTGGAGCGTCGGCCTGCGGTACAGAGAGACCCGGGTTCGGTTCCCGCTAAGGGCGCGTACCTCGGTTGCAGTTTGTCCCCGGCCCTGGCTGGTCGTGAGGGTGGCAGCCACTCGATGTGTCCCTTCACGCCGATGTTTCTCTCTCTCTCTCTCTCTTCCTCTCTCTCCCTCCCGCTCTATCTGAACAAAAATGGAAAAATGTCCTCGGGTGAGGATAAAAAAAAATAATAAAAAAAACAAACAAACACAAAAACAACAAAATGTAAGGCAAGGAGAGAACAGTGAAGACTGGTACAATCAGGGAGTGCTTCCTGGATGAGGGGATGCTTCCAGATGGGTATTGAAGGATGGAAGAACTTCATTAAGTGAAGAAGATAAGAGTGAATTTTGAGACTGGTGGGAAGAGAACATATTCAGGAACCAAGTAAGCCATTTTGACCAGTGCTGAGAATTTATGTTATATCATGCATCTCAAACTACTAGTGAACTCAATTCCTAGTGAAGCAACCCACCACAAACAGGAGATCTTCAAAAGCTTGTGTTTCATATACATTAGAGATTCAGTGAAATTTTAATTGCATAAAGGACATAATAATTTTTAATTAAAATTTAAAATAGCATAACTGAAAAGTCTAAAGTCACCTCTGACCTTGTCTCCCCAGAGGTAATTGCTATGGATATGTGCATGTTTCACAATATGTGTGCTCAGAGAAAATAAATTATCTGGGAGGGGGAGATAGTTAAGGGGAATATTTGCCTAAATTAGTATCATGTCTTATAATGCACAGTTTTAAATTTTAATGCAGTCAAATTTATCTTTTCCTTTGTGACTTTTGCCTTTTTATTATTTTTTAAGTTTATTGATTTTACAGAGAGAGGAAGGGAGAAAGAGAAACATTGATTTGTTGTTCCACTTATTTATGCATTCATTGGTTGATTCTTATGTGTGTCCTGACCTGGGATCAAACCCACAACCTTGGCATATCTGGATGACTCTAACCAACTGAGCTACATGGCCAGGGCCAACTTTTGCTTTTTGAATCTTGTTCAGAAAGGATTTCATTGTCTGTTGTTGTTGTTAATCCTTACCTGAGGATATATATATATATTTTAAAGGTAAATGCCAAAGTTATTTTTTAAGTTAGTTTATACATTATTCATAAAGGCATGATATTTATTATCAATTAATTGAGAAGAAAGCAAAAACTCTAATGGGAGAAAATAAATAAATATAAACAGCACATAATAACTTAAATTATCAATAAACATAGGAAAACCACTCACACTAACCTAGTACCAAAGATATTTTTCCTTTTTTTTAGGGAGAGTGGAAGGGAGGGAGAGAGAGAGAAACATCGATGTGAGAGAACCACATCAATTGGTTGCCTCCTGCATGACCCGACTGGGCCAGGGATGAACCTGCAACCCAGGCGCCCTTGACCAGAATCAACCCTGTGGCCCTTAGGTTCGCAGGCCTATGCTCTAACCACTGATCCAAACTGGCCAGCGTGGGATTTCATCTTTAATTCTCTCTTTTTTAAAAAAAATATGTTTTTATTGATTTTTTAGAGAGAGAGGAAGGGAGAGAGAGATTGAAACATCGATGTGAGAGAGAAACATCCATCAGCTTCGTCCTATACACTTTCCTACTGGGAAATGAGCCTGCAACCAGGACATGTGCCCTGACTGGGAATTGAACTGGGATCTCTCAGTCCATAGGACGATGCTCAGTCCACTGAGCCACACCAGCTGGGCACATCCTTAATTCTTAATATTGTAAATTTTACATTCTGCTTTGTCTATATTAGTTTTACAAAAAATAATAAGAATTACATCATCTCAGAGATTGTAAGAAACATAAACCCTCTCAAGCTTGTT